TGTGTGTGTGTGTATGTATATATTCCTGCGCTGTGGTTAAAATACTGTATCTATATACCTGTTCTGAAGGTGTGGGTTTGCAGCAGAATATTCAGTATCTCTAAGATCATTGTTTCTTTTCTTTCTGGTTGTAAATTCTTGTATTGAAGCCTAAAGGTCGTATATATTTGATTGAAATTTAGTATCAGTTGCCAATCGATTACATTAATCAGTTGAATGCCAATAAACTACGGAACCATTGTGATTGCAATGGACTACATCAGTAAGGGGACGAGAACTGGAAGTGCTGCAGCCAAGGCTGAAAACTGGGAAGAACAGTGTAAGGTGACTATCACAAGTGCAATAAATGGGGTGGTTTACGCGATATACATACTATCAATAAAATATATTTGAAAAAGTATCAGTACGAGTCTGAGTCTACAATCTATGGGTTTTTATTGGTGGAAAATTGGTCATACTGATGGTCGTACATTTTTTTTTAAAAACAATTATTTTGTGCCGGCTTGTACCGCCCTGCCTGTGAGTCCCTGAGTCCCAGAGACCTGAGTGCCCCCGGCATGTGCGTCATTTGTTTTACAAAAATGCAAAGTAAAAAAACACCTTTTAAAAACAATGAATCAAAATGGAAATGAAACTGTCTTGTCTTAGATTGACATTCCTTTTGCTTTACATATATCTATATGTACAAATTTGCAAACGTCATATGTACAGACTACAGTATTGATTTTATTTTAATAAAAAACAAATAAAAAAACAAATACATACCTCCAAATTTGATTTTTTTTTTTAAACTTTAAAACAAAAGAGCTTTAGTTGCCATGGATATTCTGGGCCCTGGGCCTGGGGTCTGTCATTCTTGCGTCAGAGTTTGATAGAGCCACCTCTGATACATACTTCTTTTCTTTTCTTTTTGAACTATGTATATGTAATCGGAAGAATTGTGAACATCTTCTGACTTTTGTGAGTGAAATGGTATTTGAGATATCTATCATCTGTTCAGAGAGAGAGAGAATAAAGATAACGAAACAAATCCAGCTTGTATCCAAATTTGACCACACGCTCGCATAAAATAGCATCAACAGAGGACATAAAGCAGTAGTTCAACTTTTCCAGTTGATATTGAGATCTGCCCAGAGTATAGTTAAATGAGCGAAGGGTAATTCAATTAATATTGTCTACTTTATGAAGGCTTCTAATTGCCATTCTCAGAATATAATAATACAGTTAAGTGTAAAACTGTATATATAAAGCTTTGTGGGTAAGCTGGTTCTCCCGAGTCAAGTATATATCCACAAATACGCCTGCATGACCAATCTAAGCTATATAGAAAGTACACATAAAATTACAAGTGCTAACCTATTAGTGCCAAATTGTATCGCTATAACTATGACATCTCATAAGAATTTCGCACACAACAATGCTAAGAAATATCTGAGGAAAGCAAAATACAACCACACTATCACACCCCTTCTACGGGGCCTGGCATACGGATTTATCATTTTTTCGGTGGTTAAGATAGTGTACCACTTACAACTATACAACAACTCAATAGCGGCCCAAAAAATGTAAGTAGCTCAACGCTGAAAGAATTTTAAGTGTACGTCGTATATGATGAGTATCATAGAGATTCCCCCAGTACTATAGAATTGCTAAGGTTGGCAGTTCACACTGCTGAAAAGACAATATACGAGTCACAAATAATATATATGTATACGTGTATGTATTTATATATATATATATATATATATATATATATATATATATATATATATATATATATATATATATATATATATATATATATATATATATATAGTATATATATATAGTATATAT